TATATTATATATTATATATTACATATTACATATTACATATTACATATTACATATTACATGTTATATATTTGGACGCTTAATGAAATATTTAATCATCTTGGGACTGAAAGTTTAATGAGAAGTTGTGCCATTGGATTTCTCTTCCCTTTCTGGACTGTAAAGGAATGTAAATATGGACATCTTTAGGAAAAAAAAAAAAAAAGAGCTGAAAACATTCCACCTGCCTTGCAAGCTCCAGTAACGGTTTTTGGGTCTCCTCAAATATTTATTTTGATATTTTCCCCTAAACAATTTTTGTGTCTTTCATATCGGCTTCACAGTTCTTTGAGATTTAGGTAATACCCCAAATTGATTTTGCATGTTTTTTGCTCACAGAGTTCACCCTACAGCCGGCACCGGCTGTCACTTACAGAACAATTGGGGGAATTCTGGATTTTTACGTCTTCTTGGGAGACACCCCCGAGGAAGTGGTGCAGGAGTATGTGCAGGTATGCTGGTGACCCCCAAACCAAAGGAGGTGGAACCTCCATCCTTGGAGACGCTCAGAGCTTGACCGAGGACAGCCCTGAGCAAATGGCTCTTGCTCATTCTGCTTTGCCCAAGGGTGATCTTTGCGTAGATGATCTCCAACCTCCTTCATCTGGTAGCTTATCTTGAGAAATGATGCACTGAACACTTTTTTTTTTACATTTTTTCTCCTTCTATTTCCACGTCTCTTCACTATTCTATTAATCCAAAATTGCAACTCAAGGTTTACCCTTAACTTGTGATGATCCTAAGATAATGTGATTTTATGGTAGCAAAGTATCTACAGCTCTACGTATCTGTTGGGGTCTCTACTGCAACTCATTCCCATTTGTATGTTTGGGGGCCAAAGAAGTTTCAATGACTTCTTAAAGAAAGGTTATATCCTCTTCTCTTCTCTTCTCTTCTCTTCTCTTCTCTTCTCTTCTCTTCTCTTCTCTTCTCTTCTCTTCTCTTCTCTTCTCTTCTCTTCTCTTCTCTTCTCTTCTCTGTCCCCCATGCATATGTTTATCTCGCCTTTTTCCTCTTCTCTCATTTCTTCCCCTCTCCCTTCTCCATTATTTTCCTTTTTCTCGTCTCTAGTTCTTCTTCTGCCTTACATATCTCTCAAGTCCTCCCTTTTCCTGCTGTCATCTCTCCTTCCTCCCTCTCTCCTTTCTGGCTTTCAATCCACTCTATTTCTGTGTGGTTTCCCCTTAGCTCATCACAGTTTTTTGAGGTTCATTCTGCGGCTTTTCTTTTCCTCTCCTCTCCTTGGTAACTCTGCTCCTCAGTTCAGCGGTATCCGCGGTGTGACATCACCTAAAGCCATCAGTTGCGTATAACCGCTGCCGTATGAATATGTGATGGAAATATATTATTTAAACTGAGAGCTTGCTCTTTCTTGATAAGGCAGCAAATAAATGGGCGCAATGCCGGAAAACAGAATGAAGTGGCAATTTTATATAACATAAAAGTGATAATGTAATATAATGTATTGTATTATAATATAGTATAACATAATAAATACAGTTTATATTACGTTATCTAATAATGCAATGTAATTTAATATTATGCAATAAAATATAACGTAATATAACGTAATATAACGTAATATAACGTAATATAACGTAACAAAATAACATAACATAACATAACATAACATAACATAACATAACATAATATAATATAATATAATATATAATGTAATATAATATAATAACTTTATTGCTAACAATGCTTACGTCGTTCTTTGCGTCGTTCACGTTTGGATTTTTTTCTGGGGGAAAACAAAGCACAGAAACATACGCAGCCATGGGCGATCGCATGTACTGCGCTTTATCGTACCAGCGTTGAATCTCTGATTTAAGAGAGAATCAGCGAATCCGGGGAATCTTCCCCAAAGGGAGGAAGCTGACAGTGCTCGTTATTTTTGGGGTTTAATTTCCAGTTCACGGGGTTGCCAGTGCTGCCTTCCTACTGGAGCCTGGGATTTCACCTTAGCCGCTACGACTACGGGTCGCTTGACGAGGTGAAGGCTGTCGTGGATCGAAACAGAGCAATCGGACTCCCTTATGTGAGTAAAAATGTGATTTTTTTTGGGGGGGTGTCTTTTCAGCTGCAGCCGTTTTAATTTGCTGCACAGTTTTCTGTATAAAATGCCGAATTATTTTAAATGTCGTTCGCTCTGTTTTTGGTGAAAGCAATTTTTGGTTTAAAGTTTCCAGCTCAATATATTTACTTCCACGTTACGCACGTTTCCTTGGCTTCATCTGTGAACTGACGAGCTCAACCCCCGTACGCAAATTCACTTTACACTCATGAAACCCCCGGAAAATTAAACAGCATCAGAAGCGAATTTTCCCCCAATTTAGCAACGGATAGTAGTTAAAAAAAAAAATAGTTAGGTGCCCACCTCCTGCTGCTTTTCTGGGAATTTTTAATCAAAACGCGCGGTCGGGACCTGTCAGCATCCCGTCCAACGCCCCGCCGTCCCCCAGGACGTTCAGTACACGGATATCGACTACATGGAAGGGAGGAAAGACTTCACTTACGACAAAGTGAACTTCAAAGACCTCCCCAGTTTTCAGATGTATCTGCACGACCAGGGACAAAAATATGTTCTCATACTGGTAAGCATTTAGCTATTTATTTTTCCATTTTAAACAGTGTAATTATCAGTATGTATGTTATAGATTTATATATATTTTTAATATGTGTTTGGTTGCATAAGACATCTTTCCATGTAGTTGCTGGGCTCTACATAATTGGTGGAGAGAACCATTTTATATATTTATATATATTTATATTTATATATTTATATGTTTATATATATTTAAATATATGTATGTATTTCTATATATATAAAAACACATATATAAAATTTTAATATATGTTTATATATATTTATTTATATATATT